CGGCTCCTGAGCCGCTGGGGGGCGCTGCCGCTCGGGGAGCAGCTGCAGGAGCTGCTGCGGGCCTGAGGGGGCGCCCCAGGAACACCCGGAACTGCCTGGAAACAGCCCCAAAACAGCCCGAAAACAGCCCAAAAACACCCCAAAAACTGCCTGGAAACAGCCCCAAAACAGCCTGAAAACAGCCCAAAAACCGCCTGAAAACAGCCCGAAAACAGCCCAAAAAACTGCCTGGAAACAGCCCAAAAACCGCCTGAAAATAGCCTCAAAACAGCCCCAAAACAGCCTGAAAACAGCCCGAAAACCTCCTGAAAACAGCCCCAAAACAGCCCCAAAAACTGCCTGGAAACAGCCCAAAAACAGCCCAAAAACAGCCCAAAAACAGCCCCAAAACACCCCAAAAAACTGCCTGGAAACAGCCCCAAAACAGCCCGAAAACACCCCGAAAACAGCCCAAAAACAGCCCCAAAACACCCAAAAAACTGCCTGGAAACAGCCCAAAAACCACCCCAGAAACAGCCCAAAAACTGCCTGAAAGCGGCCTAAAAACACCCTAAAAACTGTCTGAAAACACGCCAAAAACAGGCCAAAACACCTTAAAATTGTCCAAAAACAACCCAAAAACAACCAAAAACAACCCGAAAACAACCAAAAACAACCCAAACCTGCCAAAACCAGCCCAAAACACCCCCAAAACTGCCCTAAAATACCCCTAAACAGCCCAAAACCCATCCTGAAAATACACCGAAATCCACCCCAAATTACCCCCAAAACACCCCCAAATCCCCCAAAACACCCCAAAACCGTTTGGAACACCCAAAAAGACCCCAAAACTGGCTGGAAACACCAAAAAATACCCCCAAACCCAGCCAAAAACATGAAAAAATCTGAGGACATCTGGAAAACAGCTGGGAACACCCGAAAAACAGCCCTGAACCGGCCAGAAACATCTGGAAAACGCCTGAAAAACAGCTGGAAACACCCAAAATTTCCCCAAAATTCCCCAGATCGGCTGGGAACACTGAAATACACCTGAGAACATCTGAAAACAGGTGGAAACGCTGGGGAAACACCTGGAAAACAGCTGGGAACACCCCGAAAACACCCCAAAACCCAGCCAGAAATGGCGAAAACAGCCCAAAACGCCTGGAAAACAGCTGGAAACACCCCAAAAACCCCAAAAATTCCTGAAAATCCCCCACGGACCCATCAGAAATGCCAGAACAACCCGAAAACATCGGAAAACCAATCCAAAGCAGCTGGGAAACAGCTGGAAAACAGCTGGAAAGGGCCAAAAATGCCCCAAATCGGCCAAAAACGCTGAAGAAAACCCCGAAAACATCTGGAAATGGGCTGGAAACGCTGAGAGAACAGCTGGAAATGGCTCAAACACCCCCAAAATCAACCCAAACCCCCTCAAAATCACCCAAAATCCCCAGAAAACGTTGGGAAAACGGCCCAAAACATCTGGAAAAGAGCTGGGAACCCCCCAAAATCTGGGAAAACACCTGAAAACCGCCCGGAAACACCCAAAATCCACCCGAAAACATCTGGGAACCGCCCCAAAAAAATACCCAGGAGAGGCTGAAAACCTTGGGGAAAAAAAAAACCACCCAGGAATTGCCCGAAACGCCCCAAAAATGAGCAGGAAAGGAGCTGAGAACAGCTGGAAACACCTGGAAACACCTGGAATCCCAAAGAGCACCCGAGAAGGCTCAAAACCCGTCCCCAAAACCCCCAAATTCCCCCGAGCGATACCAAAAATCCCGAAACCCCCTCCCCAAAATTCACTGTGAGAGCCCCAAAGCACTGTGACCCCCCAAAACCCCAAAATCCCCCCAAAATCGACCCCAAAATCCCCCCAAATCCCCCAAATTTGCCCCAAAATCCCCTCAAACCCCCAAAATTCCCCCCAAATAAAACCAAAATCCAGAATTTTCTGTACAAACGGGATTTATTGGGGGGGTTTTGGGGGATTTTGGGGAGTTTTTGGGTTGGTTTTTTTTTTTAATTTTGGGATTTTTGGGGGGATTTTGGGTTTTTTTGGGAATTTTGGGGGGTTTTGGGGGATTTTTGGGGGGATTTTTTGGTTTTTTGGGATTTTGGGGGGTTTTTTGGGGGGATTTTTGGGTTTTTGGGGATTTTGGAGGGGTTTTTTGGGGTTTTGGGGATTTTGGGGGGGTTTTTTGGGGGGATTTTTGGGTTTTTGGGGATTTTGGGGGGGTTTTTTGGGGGTTTTGGGGCCCTCAGAAGTGGGCGGTGACTCGATCGATCTCCAGGAGGTCGTCCAGGATCTGTGGGGGGAGGGGAGAGGGGTCAGGGACTCACCTGGGCTGAGCCTCAGTGACCCCACACCTGTGACAGTGACACACCTGTGACAGTGACACACACCTGTGACAGTCACACACCTGTGACAGTGACACACCTGTGACAGTCACACCTGTGACAGTCACACACCTGTGACAGTGACACACCTGTGACAGTGACACACCTGTGACAGTGACACACCTGTGACAGTGACACACCTGTGACAGTGACACACCTGTGACAGTGACACACCTGTGACAGTCACACCTGTGACAGTGACACACCTGTGACAGTCACACACCTGTGACAGTGACACACCTGTGACAGTGACACACCTGTGACAGTGACACACCTGTTCTACACCTGTACTACACCTGTCTTACACCTATGACAACCCCACACCTGTGACAGTCACACACCTGTGACAGTCACACACCTGTGACAGTCACACCTGTGACAGCGACACACCTGTGACAGTCACACACCTGTGACAGTCACACCTGTTCTACACCTGTCCAACACCTGTTCTACACCTGTACTACACCTTACACCTGTCCAACACCTGTACTACATCTGTGACAGTCCCACGCCTGTGGGGTGGGGCTAACCCTAACCCTAACCCTGTCACACACCTATGACAACCCCACACCTGTGACAGGCACACACCTGTGACAGTCACACTCCTGTTACAGTGACACACCTGTGACAGTCACACCTGTTCTACACCTGTGACAGTCACACACCTGTCCAACACCTGTTCTACACCTGTGACAGCTCCACACCTGTGACAGGCACACACCTGTGACAGTCACACACCTGTGACAGTCACACCTGTGACAGTCACACCTGTGACAGGCACACACCTGTGACAGTCACACACCTGTCCCACACCTGTCCCACACCTGTCCCACACCTGTCCCACACCTGTCCCCACTCACGATGTCAGGTGTGGTGCCGATCTTCTTGGCCAGCTCCCCGCGCTCCATGGCGCTCAGGTACAGGAACCTGCTCAGCAATTCCCCGTCCAGGACGTTGCGCACCGCGTTCTGCAACAGGCGCCGCTCCGACTGTAGCAACCTGCGACAGGTGAGACAGGGGAGGGACAGGGGAGGGACAGGTGAGACAGGGGAGGGACAGGGCAGGGACAGGTGAGACAGGGGAGAGACAGGTGAGACAGGGGAGGGACAGGTGAGACAGGGGAGGGACAGGGGAGGGACAGGGCAGGGACAGGTGAGACAGGGGAGGCACA